TAAATATTATTCATCACACAATTTGTATCAAAATAATATATTTTTAAAAATTTATTTTAAATTTATTTAATCATTTTTATCATTGTGATTGTAGTGGCAAGGATTTTATTGCTCAGTGTCATTGCAAGCATCTGGCCTGTATATACCATAATATATTGTGTAATACATTGGCTAAGTATGACAATATGGATTTTGATAGATTCCCATGGAATATTGGAATTTTGTCGGACTTGCAGTCATCCACCACATATGCAGCCTACAATTAAAGAACGCATTTATTCCATATTATTTGCTTCCGTTATTGGCATAGTGCACATTTTTATATATCTCAATGCTGTAGATAGCAAAACATTTTGAAAACATCTATCTTTCTATGTTATCTGCTTTTTTGAAAATATTGCAGCAAATTTATTATGGCAATATGCTTGTCCTCCTGCAGTTAAAGAGGCTTAGTACTTTAATATAATCTTTATTATTTGTATCATTTCCTTTTTCTTGGGAATTACAGCAATGCTTTTGTACTATATTGTCTTGCATCCCTCAAAAAGACAACATACTTCAAACGCACCAGTTCAAGCAATGTAACTTTGATATTTATTTACTTTAAAAAATGAGAGATAAACTATACAATATGCAATTAACCTTATCTTATGACTTTTATAAATCTTATGATAAAATCTAACTCTCTCTTAATCTTTATTATGAAAAGAATCTCGGTATTATATGAAATAATTTCATTGTATAGTTTAACTTTCAAAAATTTTGCAAAATAAAATAACTCATACATTGTATTTCTACCATATATATAAAAAAAGGATAGGTAAATATAAATAAATAAATATATATTTATGATATAAATAAATATATATTTATATTTATATATATATATATATATATATATAAAATGTTGGATTTTTATTATATATATATAATTTTAAAAAATCTTTTTTATATGCTATTGAATTTTAATACATACAATTTTGATTATATGTATTTTAATTGATTATATTTATAAGTATTTTTATATTATCTTAAAAAGACTGCATAGAATTATTTGTGCGACACTCTTATATGTATGTATAATTAATAGGGACCAACTACACATTTTTTTTTCCACTGAATAAAAACAATCTCAATATTAAAATTAAATTATAAAAAAGATACTGTGATATTTTATTGATGAGAAATGTACATTTATAATTGTATTAAATACAAAAATAAACATGCCATGAATTACTATATATACATATTTTCATAATTATCAAACTTAAAAATATAATATTGTTACCAAAGAAGAAAGCACTATTTAAAAACTCTAAAAGTTCATAATTTGTTAAATTAGTAATTAAATACTGCATTTTGTATAATTTTTAAGCTTTATTCTTTTATTTTTCTTTATTTAATTGAATAGATATTAACATCCAATGTAGCATACAGATTAAATTAACAACCAAAGAAATAAATCTTAACTTTGAAATATATTTTTGTTTCTTTTAAATATCAATCAACTGGATTTTGTACTACTATTAATATGAATTCTTTATCTGGTGCCATCATAATTTTATGTTTTTTGCTACGTATGCGCAAGAAAGTTAAATCATTTGTTGGATTCAAGTCACGTACGACAGAACGAGCTTTATCTGACAATTGGCTTATCAAACCTGCGTATTGAACTGTTGTCGTATTATCTAATGTTGACTTTATAGGAATACCTAAAACAGATATAATTTTATAAATTTTTGTTTACAACTACAAGTAAATCATGTCAATGATCTCATGTCAATGATGTAATACCTTCTGCAAGTAAATCATGTCAATGATCTCATGTCAATGATGTAATACCTTCTGCATTCACCACTATTGTTCCAATTACCCTTTTATGAGACTGAATTCGTTTCATAGTTTCTTCAACCTCTTATAAATTATTTCATCGAAATTTATTAATAAAATTTTTATTTTAAATATTCCAATAACGGAAGCAAATCATATGGAATAAATGCGTTCTTTAATTGTAGGCTGCATATGTGGTGGATGACTGTAAGTCCGACAAAATTCCAATATTCCATGGGAATCTATCAAAATCTATATTGTCATACTTAGCCAATGTATTACGCAATATATTATGGTATATACAGGCCAGATGCTTGCAATGACACTGAGCAATAAGATCCTTGCCACTACAATCACAATGATAAAAATGATTAAATAAATTTAAATAAATTTTAAAAAATATATTATTTTGATACAAAGTGTGTGATGAATAATATTTAATTTTGTATATTAATTATTGGATATATATGTACCTGCAATAAGAAAATGCCAGAAAAATTGTAAAATAGTTCCTATAGCACTGATATTAGATTTATCTTGTTAAGCTAATCGAATGCTGCGATGATAACTAGCCATTGCCCAACCCATGCTCACAAGTGAGCTGATAATGCTACCTGCTTGATGTACAACTGAAAAAAATATAGAAGCTAATTAAGAAAATTATTAAAAATATATGCATACTCATACATAGGCATTTATATAAGATTTATATAATTGAAATATTATTGAAATAATAGCAAAATATCTGATTTTGTATCACAGACTGTAAACTTGCACATAAATTATTATGACAATAAATTTGCAAATAATAACATTAAAATTGAATGTAAACATTGAAATTGAAAATATCTAACCCCGCACGCTGTCAATGTAGCGGAGGGCAACTATCGCCGTCTGTTGTAAAACGTGCGAGATGGACATTTCCAATACATGCATCTATTCATGTGTTGTGTACGTGTGATATATGTGTGCGCATGTGTTGTATACGTGTGAATACGTGTGAATACGTGTAGCACGATACTACTATGTTTGCGTGGTCGATGATGATAATAATGATGACGGGGACGTTTCTTAAAAGAAATTTTTCATATTTCGACTTTGCAATTATATATCTCTACTTACAAATCACGTAGAGCAGAAATAAAGACACTTTTATTATATAATTCAAACTCAATCTATCGATTAAGTCTAGTATAAACTCGATTGCTTCAGCCGTTATTGAGAATTCGAAATATTATAAAGACTCAAATGTCCGACTCGCGTTAAGATACACGGTGTCTCGGCTACGCCCTTAACTGGTCGCGAGACACTACCGTGTCTCTTGATATTATCAACTATTAATTTTTTTGTTCTTATTTCATTTTCTGTGTTATTCGTAAGTCCATTATTTATTTGTTTTTCTTTGATGTTTTTGTTGGAAATAAGATAACCCAACCTGTGATTAATTTTATTAAATATAAGATCAAAAGGATAACCGTTGCTAAGTAATATATTGATAATTAACTCTAAATTTTTGTTAAAAAATTGTGGATGCGACAATAAAAAGCATCTGTCGACTAAATTAAAAATTACACCGATTTTATGGCAATGTAGATGGTTAGAGTAAAATGATAATATTCTTCCTGAAAAAGTTTCTTTTTGGTACCAATCCATATATATTCTATTGTTCAATATTTTAATTGATGTCTAAAAAATTTAGGCTACGGTTAACCTCCCGCTTAACTGTGAATTTTAATCTATCATGATATTTATTGAAACTATTGATGATTAGATTCATATTATCGGCAGATGTAACTAACAATATGTCATCAACATATCGGAGATAGAAAATACAATTAATATTTAATGCGTTAAAAACTGTGTTCTCCAGATCCTGCATCACTATATCCGCGATAATAGGTGACAAAGGAGATCCCATTGGGACCCCAAAGGTTTGTTTGTAAATCTTGTTGTTAAAAGTAAAAAATGAGGAAGTTAAAATAAGTTTAACTCCTTGTATGAACTCAAAGTTTAGGTATTCTTGTATGAATAGTAATGTGTTCCCACCTATTATCAATACCATCTAACGCCAGATCTAGAGGTACATTCGTAAAAAGCAAAACTACGTCTAAAGAATATATCATTATTCTCAATATTTTTATAAGAGAGCATGTTGTACAAATCATAACTTTTCTTAATATGACTCTTGGCTGTGGGAATACCGGTTGATATAATTTTTTGTAAATAGGACGCTAAAGGATATAAAGCCGTATTTATGGATGAAATTATAATTCTAAATAGAATATGTTCTTTATGAATTTTGGGTAATCCGTAAGCCTTAGATAGGTTACTTTAAATATACACGCAATGCATATTGTTATTAATCATTTCTCGCAACGAAACGAAGAAATTTCACGGGAAGCATTTTATAGCTTAAGAGGGATCTCTACACAAAAGGATTCATGGACGAAACATCAGATATGACACATTGCGACACGTGACACATTTCTAACATTATTAATTCGATAGGATATTAATGTAATATAATAGCGGTTAAGATATGACATGATAATTTATGTAACACTGAAGAAAACTGCGTGCAGTCAAAACGTCTAATTCTTTTATGTAAGATTTTGTAAATTTACGGTTTATCCGATTCGAGTGATATTTTTCGGTTTAACAATGCTTGCAGAATATATTAAATAAATTTCTGATTCTAACATTCTATTTAATGCTCGTTATGCTAGCCTCTTTTACTATATTGATTGTTTCAACAATATACAAGTGAATATTAAATTTATGTTAATTGTTTATCTTTATTAATCTTAATTAATTGTCATTCTAGTTTCTCACTTGAAAAGATCAAAAACAGATGGTCGAAACGTTGTGGAAATAAAATAAAATTTTCTTTGGCTAGTTTGAGTCGAATTTAATATATCGTTCCTATTTTAAATATAATTTTTTTGTAATGCTAACCTTCCTTGAGCCGACGTCGCGCCTTGATCAAATGACAATCGATTTGCCGTGATATCGTCAATGTCGGCCCGTTATTTGACGTTGGGCGAAATTCAGCAAACCTTATCTGTATCTATATGTGTGTTTCTGATCTTGATCTGAATTTCTGATTTTTTTAATACGAGACGTACAAACATTCGACGTTCTCTTTTTTTCAATTTCAATACGCGCACAGTATGTCAAATTCACCGGCATTATACCATTTCGGTACTGGCATTCGATGCTCTCCTTTTTAATTTCAGTACGGGCACAGTATCTCAAATTCATTGGCATTATACCGTCTCGGTACTGGCATTCGTTGTTCTCTTTTTTTAAATTACAATACGGGCATAGTATCTTAAATTCACCGGCGTTATACTGTTTTGGTACTGGCATTCGACGCTCTCGTATTAAAGTATACTTTAATAGCGGAGCACATAAAACCTCTGTCCTTTCAGGCTCCGCCATCTTTCTTCATATATACAATAAATTATTGCAAATTAGTATTTTATATTATTATTTTTTATTTCCAGGAGGATATCTAACTGTGCAGGATAGTCCTTATGTTACTCCGTTGGGTGTTGCATTTCTTCAGGCTGGTGAAGAGATGGGTTACGATATTTGCGACGTCAATGGCGAACAGCAAACCGGTTTCGCCTTTTTCAGTATACAATGCGCCGGGGTGCTAGATGTAGTACTGCCAAAGCATTTGTGCGACCTATTCAATTAAGAAAGAATTTTCATCTTTCTTTGTGGAGCCATGTGACTCGAATATTGATAGATCCGCAGAACAAAAAAGCGTATGGTGTAGAATTTATTAGAGATGGCCGTAAGGAGATAGTGTTTGCAAAAAAAGAAGTAATCCTCTCTGCTGGAGCTATCAATAGTCCGCAATTGTTAATGCTCTCAGGAATAGGACCACGTGTCCATTTAGAACAACTGGAAATTCCTGTAATTCAAGACTCACCTGGTGTCGGACAGAATTTGCAGGATCATATTGCAATTGGCGGGCTCGTTTTTCCAATTGACTATAAGATTAGTGTTGTTATGCATCGCGTTGTCAATGTTAATTCTGCATTGAGATACGCCATCACTGAAGATGGCCCGTTGACATCCAGCATTGGTCTAGAGGCGGTCGGCTTTATTGCTACCAAGTATGCCAATGAGACTGATTGGCCCGATATCGAGTTCATGTTGACATCTTCTGGAGTCAATTCTGATGGCGGCAGCCATGTAAAAAATGCTCATGGTTTAACTGATGAATTTTACAATGAAGTATTTAGTGAACTAAATTACCACGATGTTTTTGGCGTGTTTCCAATGATGCTCAGACCTAAGTCGCGCGGATATATTAGACTGAAATCTAAAAACGCTTTGCACTACCCTTTACTGTATCACAATTATCTCACTCATCCGGAAGATGTAGCAGTGCTTCGCGAGGGTGTCAAAGCAGCAGTTGCCTTAGGCGAAACGCACAGTATGAAGAAATTTGGTTCTAGATTTCATAGCAAACAGTTACCAAATTGCCAGCATATTGCACTTTACACCGACGAGTATTGGACATGTATACTAAAAATGTATACAATGTCCATCTATCACTATAGTTGTACAGCAAAGATGGGGCCGGCCAGCGATCCTATGGCGGTTGTAGATCCGGAACTAAAAGTCTATGGAATTGAAGGTTTACGCGTTATCGATGCATCCATCATGCCAACGATAACTAGCGGCAACATCAATGCACCTGTTATAATGATTGCTGAAAAGGGTGCCGATATGATAAAGACAATGTGGATACAATCATCCCGCACCAAAAGAGACAATATTACCGTTGCTACTTCTTGACATTAATTAATGGGAAAATATTGCGTAATACAAATGTATGATTAATCAAAAAATTGGATTAAATATAACAATTTTAGTAAAAAGTTATACATAAAGAGTTTTGAAAAAAATTATGTAGTTTCTTTAAAATAAGAATATAATTTAGAAAAAGGTATTTATATATAATTATTTATAATATTTGGTATGTAATATAACAAAAAGTTTAATAGTTGTGATATAATTACAAATTAATTATATCGGACACATTTTAGACCAAGCGTGTCGAAATTCTAATTAATTACTAGTTTACTTCCAATAAAATAATTTTGTAAAAATTAGCAATAGCATATGTATATAATTTTACAAATAAATTCTTTATTTGTTTTTCCTAATAGAATAAAGAACATAATACTATTATATTTAAAATGCATAAAATATATATATATATACTTACATTTATAAATATATTAAATTATACATATAATATAAAATATATTACGTTTCTTACTAAATATATGATTTCTAAAGTGTATTTGGAGATCACACAAATATGTAATTAGAATTGTTTATTTAGCATATTTAAAGCTATATCTTATTATGTATAAGTATACTAGGCCGGTTTTAATTCGGGTCCACTGAGGAAGGTAAGGGGAGGAAGGCGAGAAGCGAGAAGGATGCTAGGCTAGTGTCCGCAGAAGGAGAAAAAAGGAGGCTAGGGACAGCGGAAGATGATGCGAAGAGAGATAGCACAGCAAGGCGTTCGTGAAGAAGAGAAATATAATGTAAAATTAAAAAACATACATTGTTACGATATAGTCTATATAGTGCCACGGTGTACTTTCGCATTTTTCAAACTGGCGCCATTAGTAAGAACAAACTATATTTAAAATTAATAAAACATAAAAAGTAGGCCAAATATACGAGCCAAAATAATTTAGATGTAAGAATAATTAAAAATTATTCATTCATAATATAAATGTAGACGTTTTGACCTTAATAGGTCTTTATCAATACAATTAACCGCATGTATAAAATTATAAAATATAAAATATAAAAATATAAAATATAAAAAAGAAATTTAAACATAATCTCGCAAGCTATGTAAAGACGAAACTTTGATTATCATTCGAATTAATTACAATGGTTGAAACAATTATTCTTAGATGTCTTATGTTTAAGACTATCTCTCAAATAAATACACGGAGTCCAAATTCGTCGTTAGACAGCGCGAACAGTCTGTTCCGGCATCTTCACGAGATGAGTCTCATTTATTTAAGCCCTTTTTTTCCACAAAATAGATATATTAAAAGGATTCCAATGAAGAACACTCCGAAAAATATAAATTAGCAATAACTTACATATTGATGTTTTTTGTTGGTTGTTGCGACTCAGCAATATCAGGAAATAATATGTATCATTATTATATCAAAGCCTGTTTATATAGTCAATAGTGTTGTCAATAGTTAAAGGTTAATTTTTTTTTATTAAAAAAGTATGTCAAATAATTTTTCTAAAATGTCAAAATAACAGCTTTCAAGAGATTCGATGTCTTTCTTTAAATTTATACTATTTTTATGTTCTTTTATGTATAACATTTCAGAAATAAGTCTTTTATTATAGTTGATTTCATGATCTAATATTTTAGTCCCTTCCCAGTCAAAAGTGTGCTTATTATTTAAAATATGTTCAGAAATCACCGAATGTCTTGCAGAGTCTAATTTAAAATTGTTTTTATGTTTGTTAAGTCTGGTACGTAATTGTCTTTTTGTTTGTCCAATATAAATTGCTTCACAGTCTCTGCAATTAATTTTATATACAACATTTGAATTGCTGGAGTCATCATTCTTGTTTTTATGTGTTTTAATCCAATTGTTTAGATTTTTCAAGACACGATATCCTACATTTTTTAATCCGATTTTTTAATATTGGCTGATATTTTTTTAATCGCGTTCAAAAATTCGTTTTTTGAAATTTTAGTCTGTGGTTCGATGTAATATCATCTATTATTAATGCATTCCATTGCAAGATCCAGAGGGACATTTGTGAATAAAGAGACAACATCTAATGAAACTATTATATCTTCACTGTCTAAAGTTTTTCCAGACAAAGCATTGCACAAATCGAAACTGTTATTAACAAAACTATTCGCTTTAGGAATGCTTTTAATCAAAATTTTATGGATAAATAAAGCTATGTGGTGTAAAGCTGTGTTCACCGACGAAACTATAATTTTAAAAGGAGTGTCTTTTTTATGGATTTTGGGCAAACCGTATGCTTTAAGTAAGAGGCTATCACTCGAATGCAAATAATAGTATTCCGTTTTGGTAATAAAATCCTTTTTTAGCCATTTTTTTATAATGATATTTAAATCTCTTTCTATTTTTAATGCTGAGTTACTATTGATTTTTATGTAAGTATTAGTATCATTTAGCAAATTTTCAACCTTATTTATGTAATATTTCTCCTCCATTGCTACCGTAACGTTCCCTTTATTGGCTCTTGTGAATAAAATGTCTGGATTATGCCTCTTAAAATTGATGGTTGCCTTAACCATAAAAGCTATTTTAATATGTGTTGGTGTGATATTGAATCGGTTGTGTAAAAATCGTGTGAAATAGGAAATTGCTATATTGCGTATCATGGGAAGATTCATGATCTTATTTCTCTTAGTGTTGCACTCTAAATCCTTGATAAACACATGTATGGCTATTTTTTTATTGTTTGTATTTATTGGTAAACTAAAATTACTACCCCTTTGCAACAAACTGACCACTTTCGTTGGAATTTGCGTGTTAGTTAAATTAATGAACCATTTACTGTTTGTGTGATCTAACGGGTTAATTTCATTTTCTGTAAATTTATTAGGAGTGATAGAAATGTTAATGATATTGTTATTTTGGTTATATAATATTGCCGATTGTGTGTATTTTTAGTTTGTGAAGTTTCATTTTCATCTAGAATGCAACTAAATTCAATTGGTCTGATACTATTAATATATTCTGATTTTTTTTAACTTGATTAACCATAAGAATTTTTTCTTATGACTATAATATAAATTGTACGATAATTGTTAAAAGAAATAGTAAACTATATTAGTAAACTATATTATTTCTCTACGTTTTTTTAGGTTGGCGAGCCTGTATATTGCCATAAAAGTACGCACGCGCGCTCTAGCCCAGTCAGTCATGTCTGTTACGCACGTCATATAACGCGCACGTTAGCAAACTTTGTGTTCTCAATAAAGTATCTTATTTTTGGCTATCACTGTGATTACTTCATATTTTCACAAGGCCTCTCGCAACAGGTTATGGGCCCACGCACATACGCCCTGTGCGATCGGAAGTGACTCTCCTTTGTCGTGTATTTATTCTCTCTCTCGCGAGTGAATGTAACTTTTGTCCTCCTGTACTGTATACGAAGTTGTTTGTGATTTGTCAGCCCGATACAAAAATGAGTAAGAACGATGATTTAAAGAACGAAATTCAACGGTCAGAACTTCCAATTATGGAAATTCCAAGTGAGAACTATCCTTGTTGCACACGACCTTTTGAACATCGTCACAGGCATTGAAGTGAAACCTGAGAAGAAGGATGCCAAAGCAATGTTTATTCTATTGTCCTCCATGGAATATACGCAGCTCGAATACCTCGTCACGTGCAACACGGCGGCAAAAATGTGGTCAAAACTTTCCGCTATACACGAGCAAAAGAGTGCGTCGAATAAATTAACGCTCACAACAAAATTTCATGAGTATCGTATGACTGTCGGCGACTCTGTCGCTCAACATATCGCCAAGGTCGAAAACATGGCGAATCAATTGAAGGACATCGTGTCTGACATCATGATAATGGCCAAAATACCTCGGTACTCTTCCCAGCAAATATAACGTTTTTATCTCGGCATGGGACAGCGTCGATGCAGCAGGACAAACGCTGCCTCGTCTACGAGAAAGACTGCTACAAGAGGAAGCCCGAATAACATCGATGGACGAAGTAAGCAGCGCCTTAGCCACATCGAGCATCTCGAAGAAAGAAAAAAGCCGACGACCATGCAACAGCGACGTATCTACGCGTAAGAAAGAGATTGTTTGTAACTTTTGTAAAAAGACCGGTCACATCGCGAAATATTGTTTTGCGAGAAAAAGAGCATCGAAAGTAAGCAAAAAGAACGATGATTCTAAAGATAAAAGCAATTTTAAATATAACGAGTCCGCTAATTTCACAGCGTTTGTTGTTCACGACACCGAGAAAGAAGTAAACAACAAAACATCTGCGCGCGAAATTAATTCACAGATAACCGCAATCTCCAAACTTGACGAAAAATATATTTGGCTCCTCGATAGTGGTGTATCGCGACACCTTTGTTGTCAAAAAGATTGGTTCGTTAACCTAGCGCCTTGTAACAATAAATATGTCTGTCTAGGCGACAACACAAATTTGAAAGTCGAGGGCCGCGGAAAAATATTCATTTCCAGATTAATCGACGACAAATGGATGGACAGTGAAATTAACGATGTCTCGTACGTTCCGTGTTTGAAGAAAAATTTATTTTCAACGGGTATTTGCACATCAAACGGATTTTCAATTGTTTTAAATGGAGATCACGCGGACATACTTTCAAAAGATAAGAAAATCGTCGCTCGCGGTATCAAACAAAGAAATAACTTGATACGATTATTATTCAAATCAAAAGAAAAAAACAGCGCACTACGTATCTTCGGCGTCGTTAGAGACTTGGCATAAACGCCTCGGTCATGTAAACTGTAATACTCTTAATAAAATGATAGCAAACGGCTCGGTCACTGGAATGTATCTGTCGGACAAAAAGGCCTTTTTTTGTGAAGACTGCCCGTTAGGCAAACAAGCGAAATTTCCTTTTACCTCGAAAGCAAGGAGGGAAATCGTTCCCGGCAAAATTGTTCACGCAGATTTATGCGGACCGATGCAAACACCGTCGATCGGTGGAGCAAAATTTTTCCTATTACTTAAAGACGACTGCTCAGGTTTCAGAACAGCTTACTTCTTAAAGCACAAAAGCGATATTTACGATTATTTAAGAGAATTTCTTATTTGAACTAAAAATCAATTCGAGAAAGATATAAAAATTTTAAAAGCCGACAATGGCACCGAATTTACTAATTCAAATATTTGCGATTTGTTAAAACAA